CCCGCCGCTGCGGGCGCCGCCCTTGATGCTGCTGACGTCCTCCACGACCTGCTGCAGGCGGCGGTTGTAGCGGCTGTTGCGGACGTCCAGCGCGACCTGGGCCTGCGCCTCGCTGCGGGGGGCCAGAGGGGCGGGCGGGCGCCGCGGGGCGTCGAGCGCGAAGGAAGCGGGGGCCAGGACGAGCACGGCCAAAAAACAGGGGCGGCGGGAGCAGAGCAGGGTTGAAACGCCCGAAAAGCCGGGTGCGCGTGCCCAGCGCGCTTGCGGCTCGTGCCGCACGCAGGCAAAGCTGGCGGCGACGTGCTGCCCTGAACAATGCTGCAGAACCACACCAGGGGCTGGCGACCGCTTGATACTGGACTCTACTGGGGCCCCCGCGCCCCCCACCTGTCAAACGGCAGCGCCGGCAGCTCCGCCGCCGCCCGGTCCCGCAGCCGCTGCGCAAAGCCCCGCGCCGCCTCCCGCACCGCTGCCTCCGCGTCCTCCGCCGGCGGCTCCCCCCAGAACTCGCGCCCGAAGCCGCCGGCCAGCGCCGGCGAACGCAAGCCCTGGCGCAGCTGGTCTGACGTGAGCTGCATCTCTGCAATCAGCTCGACCGCCGCCTGCAGGCGCTCCTGCTCCTCCTCGACGCTCGCCTGGGAGTCGCGGCTGTCGAGGCCGTTGTGGCGGACGTCGCCGGAGGCTGCGGAGGGAGGGGACGGCGGCGAGCGCGGAAAGGGAGGTTGAGGGGAGGGGCGTCGCGGGCCTCGCGGCTCGCGTGCTGCATGCACACAGGCGCTGCAAAACAAGGTGTTGTCCCCTTGATGCACGTGGGCGTCTGCATTCAGGGGAAGGGCCAGGGGCCGCGTCCGCTCACGCAGCGGCTGCAGCGTGTAGACGGGCGACGGCAGCGCCAGCAGCGTCTCCGCGCGCAGGCAGTTTCTGAACAGCTTCTTCAGCTCAACCAGCGTCTCCAGGCGCCGCACGCGCGCGGGCGAGTCCACGGCCAGCTGCTGGCTGATCACCAGGGGGACCTGCTCGAGGGTGCTGCGGGGGCCGAGAGGGAGGGGTGAAGGTGGGGGGGCGAGGGGGGCTCACGGGGGTGTGGCACGCGGGGGTTCGGGGCGACAGGGCGGGGGGGTTGCAGCGCTGTGCAGCCACGACTGGGGGTAACAGCGGCGGGGCGGAGGGGAATGCACAGGCGGAAGATAGACAGCAGTGGGCCGGGTGCGCTTGCATCCATGCGAAGTGCAGGATGCCCACAGGCCATCCCCCGTGCATGCCTCTGCCCCTGCTGTGCGCATGAGGCCATGCCAACCCGGTGGACCGCGTGTACCGCTCAAATCCTGGACACGCTGCCCCGCAGTCCTCACCTGTTTGGCACCGCAGCTGCTCGCACTGCTCTCTTGACGCCCTGCTGCTGCTGCCACCGCCCGCATTCGCCCAGGTGTGCTGCAGCGCTGGCGCGCAGCAGTGCGCGGCCTCGTGGCGCGCTGCTGCATGTTGCGCCGGTCACCACGTGCTTCGCGTGCCTGTCGAAAACGTTTCAAATGTCCGTTTTGATGCTTTCGTGGTAGACGTTGTTCAACCATTGCTGTCCCAGCAAGCTCAGTGTCCCTGTCTCACCTGCAGGTTGCTCCCCGCACGGCCATCAAGGGCACGCCACCAGGTAAGAGACCGTGCCGAACGCTTAAAACGCCGCCTCTGCCCGTGTGCAGCGCATGCTGCATCCTGGCCGAGGCCACGACGCTGCCTTGGTTCAACTCAACACTGATGGCGCGCTCGCGGCGCGAGGTGGGTGTCTGTGTTCCTTGTTGCGCTATGTAGTATATTCAAATGCAATTGGAAGGGGCCGCGAGCGATTTGCATGCGATCTTGGTGCTATGCCGGCCCTCGTGTGTCCAGCTGGCGGACAGGGGGCCGTCCATGCCAACACGTCGCAGACCTTCACATGACGTTCAACCCAGGTATGTACGCACTGACCGTGGCTGCCACTGGGCTCTTATGTCGCGCGGACACCCGTCCCACAGTGGCGGTTGCCTCACGGACTGGAGAGGTGTCATGTGGTCGGCTGCAACCGGGGTTCAGGCTGGGTCGGGCTAATGCGAATCACACAATAACTGAATGGGAATCTTGATGTGTGACACCGACTCTGGCCTGGGTGGCTCCCTGTAGCCACGGGCTCTGGGCAGCAGTTTTGCCCATCACACCACCAGTTTGAGGGCACACCTGGCATGAGCGGCCAGCATGGCCGTTCTACGCCTGCAGCCGGATGGAAGTCGCGCCGCCTGGTTGCATCGCAAAAATCCTGCACAAGCAAGACAAGCCGTGCACAAGTGACAGTAACGATAGCGTTTAGGGTGTTGGGAATTGAGAAGGATGCGGCTTGGTCTCGTGCTGAGATGTGCTCAACAGTGCTTTTAGCGAAAGGAGGCCTGCCTGTATGCATACAAATAAGAGGACAGAAGCTCATGTGGAAAGCTGAGGAGCAAAACACTGAACTAGGCGCGAAACAGACCTCCGTCGGGGGTAGTTTCAAGTGATCGTTGGTGGTGCAGCGAGCACGCGCATGGTGCGCCTACCCAGATGCCGGCTGGTACGCCCCTGTGCGTGTGCCGCCGTAGCATCAGCAACGGCGTCAAAGCACGCACACGGTTGAACCCCCATGCCTGAAAAGGCGCCGCGCATTGGCGAAGCCGGGGCGCTCGCGATGAAAACGTGCGCGAGCACACAGGCCGCTGCAAACGGATTCTGGAGCTGCAAAATTGCGCCGGCAGGCTGCCGATGTGCGCCTGGCTAGCTGCAGGCCGCGTGGCCGTGGCAATGGCTAAGGGATGCACGTCGCTTGGACGCGAAACAGCGACCAATCGCCTCTAGATGGGCCCGTGCCAGGGGCGCTTCACAGGCGCGCAGCGCGTGCTTTTGAAAATGGGACACCAGGCTTGCAAGGCCTGCCCACGTGGCTGGGGACTGGTGCGGCCCACCGTCAGTTGTGGGTGCGCGCTGCCGTCAATGGCCTGCAACGCCTGCCTGTTTGCCAGGGTACCATTGACGGCGACCACGCTGCCGAGTCCTGCACTGGCGACATTGGGACGCAGCGCGCTCCCACAAACAAATGCAGGAACCTGTTAGTTAGGATGAAACTTCAAGGCCTACTGCCCACAACAGGTCGTCGAACCAAACAATCAAGGAAACGGCGGCGACGCCGGCACCCTGCACCCCCTGCTGCTGGAGGCGCTGGGCAGGGGCGCCGGCTACGACACCACGCACCCGCCGCCGCCGCAGCAGCCGTCCCGCGCGCGCCGCCGCTCCTCCTCCTGCCACGACAGGTCCTGCGCGCGCAGCAGCAGCTCGAGGCCGTCTTCCAGCAGGTCCACGCGCCGCAGCAGGCTGCCCTCCGGCGCCGACGCGGCCAGCCGCCGCTCGGCGGCGCGCGCGACGGCGCCGGAGGGCATGTAGCCCTTCAGCCGCTGCATCTGCTGCGCGTAGAGCTGCTCCAGGGCCTGCACGCGCTCGACCAGCGACTGGGTCCTGCGGGGGTCGAAGGGGCGGCAGGGGTTGGTGGTGTAAGTTCAGCGAGGCAGGCGGGCACGCGGAGGGGGTTCGAGCAGGCCTGCTGTCAACGCCGCGAGCCGCAAGCGCAGCGCCTGCTTGATCGCCGCCCATCGAGGGGGGCCGCCCTTTGCAAAGGCCGCGCCCTTTGCGAAGGCCAGCGCCGCGCGCGCGCTGTTTGCGCACCTGGCCGCGGCCGCCGCTGCCAAGATGGCCGCCTGGTCAAAGCTGCCGCGCGCCGCCGCCTCCGCGCCCTCCCGCGTGTCCGCCGCGCCCTGCGACTGCGCCCGTGCCGCTGCTCCGTGCGCCGCGGCCGCCGCCGCCGCCGCTGCGGCAGGGCCCTGCTGCTGCAGCGGCGATGGCGCTGAGGCGGCCCTGCCCTTGTCCTGGCCGCTCGTGAATGAGAGCTGCTGCGGGAGGCTTGGGCCGCTGCCGGCCTCCACCAAGCTGGAGGTCTGGTTTATGCTGCTGTTGGTGGAGACCACAGACACAAAGGATGCCTCAGACCTGCGAAAGGGTTGGGGCCGCGTGCTGAAAGACAGCTTTCTCGAGGCAGCAGCAGCTGGCCGGCGGTGCCTGGAAGCTCCCACGCAAATGCCGACGGCGCCTCCTACATTTGTCAGTCAATCAGGGTGTATGCCGGGTACCTGGTACGCTGACATATGTGCGCAGCACAGCTCCGAAGCGAAGCTTCGCAATGACCGCACACAGCGCAACCGCGGGGCAGCGCATGCGGCCCCGCCCCGAGGCAGGCCATCGCGCCCTGTGCTTCACCTGGCCCGCAACACCCTCACCTCGAACACATACACACACACACACACACACACACACACACACACACACCTGGGTGACTGGTATCCGTCCTCCTCCCCCTCCTCGGCCAGGTTGGTGGCGGCGCTGTGCCGCAGCGCCCTGAGCGCGCGGCCGGCTGCGGGCAGGTCTGCCTCCAGGCGGTGGAGCACCTCGGGGTCGGACCAGGGGCCGACGTCGTCCAGAAGCGTGCCCTTTAATTGGCGGGGGATTCCAAGGGGGTGTATTTTGGTATGTGCGTGTATGTGTGTGTGCGCGCGTGTGTGTGCGCGCGCATGTGCGTGTATGTGCATGCGCATGTGTGCAAGCATGTGTGCGTGCGTGCGAGTGTGCGCATGCGCGCGTGCGCACGTCCGTGTAGGAAAGAGTGGCAGTGTGCACATGCATGGGCAACAAAGACAAAGTTTTCGTGCGGAAACCAGACGGCCTTTCGCACAAGCCCCTGCTGCCCCGGGGCGTCCAACCCAGGGACCAATTGCTGACCTCGCACAGCCACCAGGCCGGGGCCTGTTTTGCTGACCACGCCGCACCTTTGACCGGCCGCCGAGCCAGGCCGGCAGGTTTTCCGGGTCAACCCACTCCAGCAGGTCGGCGGTGTAGTTGGTCTGGCAGATCTGGAGGTGACCCACACAAGCATCAACAGACAGCTTCAGGAAAGCGCCACACAGGGCATGCCTGGATGCACCTTGGCGCCGCGACTCTGTCCCAGCCCAGATGCTCAACGCTGCTACGGGGCGCACGCGTGTAGGAAAGCGCACGCCTCTGCAGCTGCGGGAGATGCTGGTGCATGCCGCGCGCCGCCGCGTGCCCCCCTGCCTGCCGCCGGCGCTGCAGCTTCGACCCACCTGGATCTTGTTGAGGGTGCGGGGGTTGAGCATCGGCTTGATGAGGGCCCAGACCGCCTTGAACAGCATGGGGG